TGGCCACAAGGCCAAATAATGAGAAATATAAGGCCATGAAGCAGCCTTATTATGGTTAAAAGACAAATGGAATCACAACAAGCACCACCATTTTACTGATAGCAAGCACGGTCTTCGCAGTGAAGAACAACTTTTTAAGCCGAGCACACCATCTTTTGGCTGTCACATCATGTTGCCCCCCTTATTTTCTTATGTATCAACCTGTATGGCCAACTAATTAAGAAAATAATTTATTCATAGTTTTTTTTTTAGCAAATGAAAATAAAATTGGCCAAACCATAATGAGGAGGAGGCCAACGATGTTTTATTCCAAGCTGAGATCTTTTTTATATCAAAATTCTCAATTTGATTTCGCTTTAGGCCGAATAAAGAATTATTTCCAAAGTACTTTTGCCTTGGCGAAATATTTTTGATTCTTGCCAATTTCAGCTTTTAACTCGAACAACTTAGCCGAACGAGGTTTCTCCATATCGGCTTTATCGCCAATAACCATATCGACTGTCATGGTTTTAGTGTCTAAGACCATATCTTGGCCCTATTCGTCATTGGAACGCTCCTTTGATGAATCATCTTTTGAGTCGATTTTTGGCTTAAAAACTTGAACTTTTCTTCTAGGCCTACCATACTTTCACTGTTGACCGAAACAACAGGTGGCCTAGGTTTTTCTTTGACTGTCTTGACAATTTTCTTAGGCCGAATTTTGATTGTGCCCGGAGCGAAAAATTGCTCACATGCCTCTGAACTTAACCATTTTTCAAATGGAATTGATCTATAGTCAGAAATGTAAGGAAATCATTCTTCATATAGTTAGTCATTAAATCAAGCCTTGCCTTTGTTTACCCATTGCTCTTGTAGGGTAACATGAGCTTTTATTCTCAACATATAGGCAAATGATTTTTGCCTGGCTCTCACGCCACGAAGAATTTTTACCGCTTCCCATGATCTTTTATCCTTCTCAAGGCGTTTTCTATCCTTCTCAAGACGTTTTGTACCCTCTTCATTGTTTCTTTTCAATTGCGCAAGAAGCTCGTGCAATCGGCTAAATGAAGCCGGATTGGAATCTTGATATATCATATGAACTTCGGAGTTTTAGCATTGAGTCCCACTGGGCGTGCCAAAATGTTGACCCTAAAAACTACCAAGCCTACGTGACACACAAGCCGAGTAATTAATAAGCTAACTACGTCATTCGGTTGTGTGCGGGGCGTGCCAACTAGATGGCCAAGCTCGGCCGATGAGTAAAATTTGTTGATGTTGCGTTGGGCACGCTGTTGACTTCTGAATCTCGCAACTGTGGCCAAGGAAAGAACACACGTCGGCCTTCGGGTTCTAGAGCCTGAAGACAAGCTTGCTAGTTCTGCGAAGTTCAATATCAAATTCGGCTCTTAGGGTGCCGAATGTAGTAACCTAATAACAGCTCACTTCGCCGAGAAGGCTGATGAGATGACCTCTGCCAATAAGAATTTGAAAATCCTTCTCGAACGAGACTTGGATAGATAACCAGTTAGCCTCGTCGCAGTGCTGTTTATCCAAACTGAATGTGCTCCACGGCTGGCTGATTTTACGACAACAGTGCTGTTTATCCAAACTGAAGATGTCACTGATTGCTTTCACAGTGCTGTTTATCCAAACTGAAGATGTGTTGGCGGAAAAAGAAAATAAAAATCTTAAGGTTGTTGAGAGGTTTCACTTAGAGCCAGAGTTTGCGCAGAGCAGTTTGTGTCTTGAATTGGATATGGTCTTCACGTTGCACAACTTCATGTATTTATAGCACTATTTGCTTGTGTTTCTCGCGGAACATCTGTAGTTATCCACAACTTGAATCTTCTGAAGATAAGCAGTTTATACAAATAAAACTCTTGATAGCTATCCCATTCGTTAATTGACCGCTTAACAATGACCCATCCTCATTGACCATTGGCTATTGGATTTGATAGAATCAGACCAATTTGCATGCACATGAAACTCTTTCTATAGCATCATGAGGAACCATGCAATGTTAGTGCCCATATTTGCGTCCAAGTGCATGCATCGCCAAAGTTTAAACACTTTAGCCCATGCCGTGCTCATCCCTGAAGAATATGCTAATTATTAGCATATATTTATGTGCTAATAATTATCCTAATCTAGAATATGCCACTCCATTATTTTTTTGTGATCATCATGTACCGCTATTATCCAAAATAACCTATATGCATGGTTGACCGACTCCAAACACACGTGGGGGACATTCCCTGTTGATTTCATCTTGGCATCCCATGCATACATGAAGACCATGCATCTTGACAATTCTAATCAAACCCATCATGCTGCTCCAATCTGATAACAAGAATCCCAAGTCCATTTGAACTATACTACTTGCTTGGAGATATAATTTGCATCTTATTATCCCGTATAAGATAATATCAAGATAATTTGTTATTAAAAGATCATGAAATATCCTTTAATAATAACAAAACTATCTTCACTTTTTCATCTGATAGTGTGGAGTTGTGCTCACTCAACGACCTTGATTGCACAGGCCGATGGTGTAAATTTGGATCCAAACACCATTCTAAATAGGTATCGAGCCAAAAAGAACCAACTGATTGCAATTTTTGTTATAATCCTGAGATAGAGAGATGCTAGTTTGGAGAAAAGTTTCATGATATTGTTGTAACAATTCAAAATCCCTCATGCATTCGTAGACAACTGATATAGCAAAAATCATTTTAAGAATAATATCCTGATTTTGAAACCTAGGAATTTTTTACCACATAAATGAAATCAGGGCAATTTCTTTCTACATGATCTTGCGTCAAATGTCAATGTAAGAAACTAATGAAAGATTTTTCAATATGTCCGAAATATGAATACATTTGTCATTTGTTATTATACAAATATAGGGACACTTGAAAAAAAAAACTTTCCTCTACTTGTATAATAACATATAACGTACCGTCTCATGTTCTAGGCACATCAAAAAGTCTCTCAAAACCAAGGGGAGCTAAATCATTGCAACAAATTAATACTAAAATTTGGTAATTTCATGATTATTGTAAGTAATAAAAACATTCAAATATTTCTTGATGTATAAAACAATTTTCATGTATATATTCAAATTAGACCAACAAACTTTAATGAGTTTGTCTGAAATTGCTCATAAGAAGATATGAGGAATACCGAATACGTACTTCTATAAACGTAACCAGCAATTTAGTAACCCTCAAACTTAACCACCTGGCATAACAAGTTTGAAGGTGGAATAAAAATGAAAAAAAGTCCAAGCAATATTATTTTCCAACGGCGCTTCACGATTGGAAGCTTCAATGTCCAGGTGGACACTGGAAATTATTTTTTGGAGTTAAAGTAATAAACTACATCACGGCTTGCAAGCAATAGATGGATCATAGATGTGGCAACTTGACCTTGATACTTTCAACAAAATATGACAAAAAAGTAAAGCAACTTAATTGAATTCTTCAAAGAATGAATATAGTATTGAAGGAGGCACTATCCAAGTTAAAGGTGATTCTTCTATTTTCTTTGAAGCTTTTACTATTCTCCTGTGAATTTTGTACACTTATCAATTTAGACTTTTCCGGTAAACAGAAAATCAAGCTTAAAGTCATGTGAACTAACACAACCTATTTGTCATATTTGCTTGCACTTTTGGTTCTTCAGAAATTTTCGCATCGTATCTATTGTATACAACCTTGTGTATGTTTCTTTCATCATCTAACGAGCGCTAAAGACACAATTGTCGTGGGATGACTCAGTAGTTGAGGATGAATTCTAGGTCCGTTTTCAATATGGCACGTCCTGAGTTTGATTCCTAGCGCTGGTGAATAATGGCAAAGGAGATTGAATTGACTCTGTGAGTCTTTTCGGTCCCTGAAAAGGTGAATTGCCGTAGCAAAGCCACCAACTCTCCTTTATTAAAAAAAGAGAAAAAAAAACGAGCTTTAAAAACACATAATAATATACATCTGATTATATAACAGATTTTCTACTCTTTTTGAAAAATAATGATTAGCATGAAGCATATACGTAAAAGAAAAGATATTGTCATTTAATCTCTAATGATGATGATTAAATGAAAATAATAAAAGAAAATCAGAAAATTTAAGACAAATGAAGGGGAAAATGATTACCTTCTCCTATAAGTTATAACAAAAATATATAATTTTGTATTTTGAAATTTCTAATATATACATGAAAAGGAGATCCTTATCTAAAAAAAATCTAAATCATGGTTGGGGGTCAATTTTTCAATTGAGTAAACAACTAATTAAGTTGATTTTCATATTATCATATATTGGATAATCCTAAAGGAAAACAATTTTTGATAGATCCGTTTGCCGGCATGGATATTGGATAATCCCATGCTAAGCTTTTCTTGTATGATTGAAGAAAAAAAAACACTTCTCAATGTTGATATGTCCCTCCTTTCCTTCTTTTTATCTTCAAATGTCTTGATAAAATTGACACATCATTGTACATGTTTAGTAACATCTATCAAATAAAAACTTTATATTTCAAATCACTTTTCCTTAATTTTAGCAAAATAGAAAACGAAAACGAAGTGTCAAGGAAATTGCCATTATTGAAAGGATAAGCTCAAACAATTTCGTAAATTTTCAATAAGGCTTTGTAATTGTTAAAATCGAATCAAACTGTTTAAATTGTTTTGATTTAGCGTGAAAATGCTAACTTAATTTAGCCGATTTGACCGTTTGAGCGGTTTTTTGTACACCCTTGTAAAACTTTCATCAAATATCCAAATCCTCGAACGTTCTTCCTCTTCAGGAAATCCTATTTCTTAGAGGCTGGTGACGTAATATATATATACGGATTACCCTACGGATGAAATGCAACCGATGCATCCAATCCAATATTTTCCACGTATACCAGTATTTTCAAAATTTTGAGAGAGCTTGTTCAAGGCAGTGGAAAGTGGGCCCCTCTTTCCCTTTGCACATTTGCAATATTCAAAAGCTTATATAAAGCAGTTGCGGGAGGTACCCGTTCTCTGCACAACGAAACCAAAAACTCTCTCACCCATCGATACCATTACACTTCTCAACTCTGCCAGTCTCTCTCTGTCTCTTTCCAAAATATCAAAAGCACCAAACAAAAGAAACCAAATTCAAATCCCAAAACACAATATATATTTTAAGTTTTTGGTACAAACAAAGCAAGTATATTTATATATAAAGGCCATTGCTTTTGAGCGTTTCAGAAGCAAGGGAAAAATGGGTGTTGGAATTCAAACAATGTGGAGCATTCTGCTATTGTTTTCCTGCATTTTTTCTGCAGCTTCAGCTTCTGTGAGTTATGACCACAAGGCTATAATAATTAATGGGCAGAAAAGGATTTTAATTTCTGGCTCCATTCACTATCCCAGAAGCACTCCCGAGGTACGCTTTCTTATTTGTTTCATATTTCTGCCGGGTTTTTTTTGGCATTGTTTTTGGTGCAATTTCAATAATTTTTTACTTATGGGTTTTTTTTCAGCTCCATTTTTTTTTTATATTATGGGGTATTTTTTTAAGCATTTTAAACTTGTGGGATATTGTGATCTTGCATTTAAAAGTTTTCTTATTATTTTTCAGCTCAATTTTTTTTTTTTTTTATATTTTGCGTTTAATTTCTGGTGTGTGTGGTTACAGATGTGGCCGGATTTAATTCAGAAGGCCAAAGATGGAGGCTTGGATGTTATACAGACCTATGTGTTTTGGAATGGCCATGAACCTTCTCCGGGAAATGTAATGCAATTAGCAATTCGCATTTAAAATTTACGTTTCTTTGTCCTCTCTAATGCAAAATATTTATGCTAATTAATTGGTTTTTTATTTTTTCAAATTTGCAGTATTATTTCGAGGACAGATATGATTTGGTCAAGTTTATCAAGCTGGTGCAACAAGCAGGCCTATTTGTTAGTCTCCGGATTGGCCCTTATGTTTGCGCTGAATGGAACTTCGGGTAATTATTTTTGTTAAAATCAAACTTAATTTTTTAAGAATATTTTGTGATTTATTTTATTCTTATGCAAATATGGTTATGTTCATTACTCTGTTTTTTTGCTCTGTTTCTGAAACAGGGGATTCCCAGTTTGGCTGAAATATGTCCCTGGAATCGCTTTTCGAACGGACAATGAGCCTTTCAAGGTTGGATATCTTAAATCTTCCGTTTTGTTTAATCCAGTTTAAATTTTTCAACAAATAATTTTGAAGCTAAATTTAATTTCTAATTATCTGTTATGAAGGCGGCAATGCAAAAATTTACAGAGAAGATTGTCAGCATGATGAAGGCAGAGAAGCTGTTTCAAACTCAAGGAGGTCCTATAATTCTCTCTCAGGTTAGAAAACCGGTCGAGTTTTAAGACATTTTTAGAAGCGCTTTTTGTAAAACGCTTTTAGTCATTTTCAAATCAATCTCCAACATGCCGTCGGTCTTTTTTATGTTTCTAGAAGTGGGATTGAATTTACTTCCAAGAAATTGAGCAATGTTTGCTTCCTTTTGTTTTATCTGCTGAGTAAAATTTGGCCAGTCAATGCTTATTAATATTAATTAATCTTATTTTTCAAATTTGATTTGACAGATAGAAAATGAATTTGGACCTGTGGAATGGGAAATTGGTGCACCTGGAAAAGCTTACACCAAATGGGCAGCTCAGATGGCTGTAGGCCTAGACACTGGAGTTCCATGGATTATGTGCAAGCAAGAGGATGCCCCCGATCCCGTTGTAAGTTTGTCTGCGCATTTTTTTCGATGCTTTTGCAGTATTTAATTTAATCTGCGAAGAGGGAAATTTGAACTCGGGTGCACAGAGAGACGCCTTCTGCCTACTATGTGTCGTCATTTTTTAACAAGAATTGCGTAAATGTCCTTCATTTATTGTGACCCTCCTTTCTTGGTGGGGTTTTAAAACTGTTTGCCGTCAACCTAACCAAGTAGGTGACCTTTTGCTGTAGATTTGTGTTTCATATGGTCACGGCAAGGCTTGTCCCCATCTTATTTGATATTCTAAATTACTTTAATCTATGGGGGATTGAACTCCAATGCATGGGTTACGCACATCGCCCTGTCCAACTGACCTAACCACGTTTACATCTCGATGAAATGGTTTTCAATTTTTACAAGGATGAATCTTCAGTTTTGAAGACTTTTCTGATAAAAGACTTAAGTCAATTTTTCGGGTTGGTTTGGTCAGTAACTGAATTTGTGCTGTCTAATAAATTCTGCTATTAACTACAACAAACAAAGAGCTTCATAATTGTACTCCCCAGAAGTGTAGGTCCTCTCTCCTTTGGGATCGAGGGTGGATGCTATGCTTGCGTCTTGGGACCTTTACTGAAAAGCTAATTTCGCGTAATTTGTTATGTGACAGATTGACACTTGCAATGGTTTCTACTGTGAGAATTTCAAGCCAAATAAGGACTATAAGCCCAAAATGTGGACAGAAGTCTGGACTGGTTGGTAAGTCACACAAGTTGCCTGTACAGTTCCAAAGTTTATTTCCTTAGGCCCGTCGTATCAGTACTTTCTTGTACTGTCCCTCAAGCCTTTTGATGAGGCTGCCTCTTTTGTATGATTTTTTCAGGTATACAGAATTCGGTGGGGCAGTTCCCACTAGACCTGCAGAAGATGTGGCATTTTCAGTTGCTAGGTTCATACAAAGCGGCGGTTCGTTTTTGAACTATTACATGGTTAGTTGTTGCCTTGTTGGTGTCATATTTCCGAGTTTATTGTATCCGACTGATGATTAAGCACCGAGAGTGTATTTTCTAATTTTTGTTGTGTTTTCTCCCGTTTTCTGTTCCAGTACCACGGAGGAACGAATTTTGGCCGAACAGCCGGAGGTCCCTTCATGGCCACTAGCTATGACTACGACGCCCCCTTAGACGAATATGGTATGCAAATACAATTAGCATTGTGTAGCAGGTTGTTACAAAGTTTGGATCATAAAGTCATAATCCGTAGCCTTGATGATATGTTGGTTACACCTTACATTGTCTTAGTCTATAAGTTTCTGAAGCATCGAACTAAGGAAATGCTTAATGTATGCAAAACCGTATCATTGCACGTTGATGTAACGCGTTGCCTGTGCTATATCAGGACTACCCCGGGAACCAAAGTGGGGACATTTGAGAGATCTGCACAAAGCCATTAAATCATGTGAGTCTGCTTTAGTGTCCGTTGATCCTTCAGTGACTAAACTCGGAAGTAATCAAGAGGTAAAGTCTTTCAGCTAGCTCAGGAGGTTTGAAATTTGCTATGATTCTCGTTGACTGATTAATATTATCCTTGCAGGCTCATGTATTCAAATCAGAGTCGGATTGCGCTGCATTCCTCGCAAATTATGACGCAAAATACTCTGTTAAAGTGAGCTTTGGAGGCGGGCAGTATGACCTGCCGCCATGGTCCATCAGCATTCTTCCGGACTGCAAAACCGAAGTTTACAACACTGCAAAGGTGAGCAGTTGGATATGTTAGTCGACAACAATCAAGTTTTATTTCTTAATTTCAGTAAGATTCACTTAGACTTGTTATCTCCGCACAGGTTGGTTCGCAAAGCTCGCAAGTTCAGATGACACCAGTACATAGTGGATTTCCTTGGCAGTCATTCATCGAAGAAACCACCTCTTCTGATGAGACCGATACAACTACATTGGACGGGTTGTATGAGCAAATAAATATCACTAGGGATACTACAGACTACTTGTGGTACATGACAGAGTAAGTATATTAAACACATCATAGTTTAAGAATTGTCTTTTTCTTAAATGTTACAGGGAAGTTGTTGCACTGTTTTTCATTTCTTTCTAACTTGGTAGTTCAAATTTTGGTTACCAGTATCACAATAGGTTCTGATGAAGCGTTTCTAAAGAACGGAAAGTCCCCACTTCTTACGATCTTTTCAGCAGGTCATGCCTTGAATGTTTTCATCAATGGTCAGCTATCAGGTAGATAAAAATGGATGAAATTGTATGTAACTCCGTCTAGTTCTTCCGCTGAATGAACTTAATTTTAGCAAAACTGTCTACCTTTATTGCAGGAACCGTGTATGGGTCATTGGAGAATCCTAAATTATCATTCAGTCAAAACGTGAACCTGAGATCTGGCATCAACAAGCTTGCATTGCTTAGCATTTCCGTTGGTCTGCCGGTTAGTTCTTGCATTCCCTAATGAGATATTGGTTTTCTAAACATCTGAGATGGCATCTAAAATTTTTGCTTCTTTTGTGTTCTAATAAAATCAGAATGTTGGTACTCACTTTGAGACATGGAACGCGGGAGTTCTAGGCCCGATCACGTTGAAGGGTCTGAATTCAGGAACATGGGACATGTCAGGGTGGAAATGGACGTACAAGGTTTGTTGCATTTCAACGTTTATGCTCTTTTCCTTCCCCTTCCAAGATGTCGAAAAATTTGGCAAAAGAACTAGAGAATAACTTGTTTGCTTTATGAGCAGACTGGTCTGAAAGGTGAAGCTTTAGGCCTCCATACTGTTACTGGGAGTTCTTCTGTTGAATGGGTAGAAGGACCATCGATGGCTGAAAAACAACCCCTTACATGGTACAAGGTTCGTATACTTCCAATACGCGTATATTTTATGCCCGTCTTTCTTATGGAGTCCATGAAAAACCAGATATTAATCGAAGCTGTGATATCTTCAGGCTACTTTTAATGCACCACCAGGTGATGCTCCATTAGCTTTAGATATGGGAAGCATGGGAAAAGGTCAGATATGGATAAATGGACAGAGCGTGGGACGCCACTGGCCCGGGTACATTGCACGCGGCAGCTGTGGCGATTGTTCTTATGCCGGAACTTATGATGATAAGAAATGCAGAACTCATTGTGGCGAGCCCTCTCAGAGATGGTGAGAAAAGTCCATCTTACTCACCGTGATACCTTTGTTTTGTCAAGTACAAAATTCATGGTAGAGCTATTATTTTTCAGGTACCACATTCCTCGATCATGGTTGACCCCGACTGGGAATCTTTTGGTGGTGTTCGAAGAATGGGGTGGTGATCCGTCAAGGATTTCGTTGGTTGAAAGAGGTACAGCCCTCGACGCGAAGAAGCTCTAGGTTGAGGCTGTCTGCAGATCCAGCAGATACGTAGATTACTAAATACGTGAAGTGGTTGTGTACGTAGACAATCTATTAATTGTTGGAAAAAAATAGCTCCACATGATATACGAAGGATTACATACAAAGTTTGCAGTCAGTAGATTTGCGGAAGCATTTTCCATTGTAAGTTTGTAACAACTTATGGAAAAGATTTCCTTTTCCTTTACAAGAATAAATGGAAAACTAATAGAGACTACTTTTATCCTTGTCTTTCTAAATGTTTGATTTCGAAATATTTCCAGTACAACAGAGAAACATATATGTTTTCTCAGATCCCTTCTCCAATATCTGTTTGACATCATCGCGAGCACCCGGTAAGGACCTCAAACTTACGACCCAAGATGAACTCTAGAATGAGGCAAGGCGGCTGCACTGGGGCTCTGTACCGAAGAAGTGCTGTTTTGCGTAGTCTTTTCCCCATCCATGAAACAGAACATATTCCTCTAACTCAAGAAAGGAATGACATTGTCTATACCTTTACCGAGTTCTCCAATCTACGGCGGAGGTCCATTACCGTCCAGTTTCCATCGTCAATCTTGAGTTGGATTTGCCTCTTGATGCATTTTATCAAGTATTTGCTGACCTGCATTTTCAACCGGCAGATAAAGTATCAGTTAAACTGAAGACTAGATGGGCACCTGCTGTAGCCTCCTTTCATTACATTCATCACTCCAAATTGAAGAGTTTAAGCTTTATCCTATTGGGCCTGGGCCTGGGCCTTGAGCCCATATAACAATGCCCTAGAGAGTTGTTCGGGCCCACTGTAAATTTGTTTATTATTTAAAAAAACACCTCATGTAATTGGATTTTTTTTTTAATGACAAAACGAGAGTAATGAAAGTTTAGGCGAACAAAGGTACACATCGAGTGAGGTCATTAGCTATAATTTGCCTTCTCTCCTCTCAGATAAAATAAAAAGAAGCAATCTAGCCCCTATATAAAGCACTATTATATCGAGGCTAGGTTGCTCCTTTTACTTAGCCCCTCGAAAAGAACAGAAGGAAAATTTGAAAGGCCTGCCCCAACCAATCTGACACACCCCGATTCTAGAATCAAGGCGTATTGACTGTCACGTGGGCATGATGTAACCAAAAGTGCGACACGGAAGCAATAGATAAGAGCAATACGAAGAATTAAAAACCAAATACTAGCAATAATATCCATCTAGCATGCTAGAGTAAGTTTAAGTGTGAAACACACATATTCAGAGCATAAGTACTAGATGCAGTCAAGTAGGAACATAACTAAATTACAACACCCGAAGGTGAGTCCTACATTTATGTAGTCTGTCAGAACGCCGTGTAAATCCTCGTGAGCCACCACATCGCTAACTAGAACCTGGAGGGGCGCAAAACAAAATTTAGTGGGTCAGTAAAACAAAGCTTTTTGAAAACATTTCATTTAATAACATTTCTAACCCCTCGCTGTAAAACCTGTATACTTTCCCAGAAAATAACATAATATGCATATAAATCTTCATGTATCTCAAATCACCAATCTTTATTAAAAACTAGAAAGTATGCCATGCCATAAACGTCAACAACCGAAAAAGAATGCAACATTATAACAGGTGAAATAATGAATCAACTGAAGACCCTGCAGTTGATCCTGTACGGTTAATTCTAAAGCTCAATATCCAATCCAACCGGAGTCACCACAGTGACCTGTAAGGCGCTACTCTGCACATAAATCGGAACTACTTGAAGTAGTCTGTACGATAAGAAAGGTGTAAGAATACGCTCTAGTGCTTCTCTCATCAACAACTGTATAATAATCTAAAATCACCTACAAGTCAGAACCACCTCTCATGGTCTGTACGACATGTCGGAACCCTCTAATGGTCTGTACGACATGCACCTACTTGGATCCAAGGCGAGCGTGTGGTGCGGGGTAAATAATATAAGCACTAACACCAGGGGTGCATGTTTGAGCTTTCAATACAATTCACATCACAATAAATCACATGATTAACATAAAACTCACCTGATACTTCCACAGCACCAATTCACATATATATGCATCAAATACTAATTCACATATTTCATAATATGCATGCATGACATTTTTAAAACACACTTTCATTTAAATTCAATTTCTGGGAAAAATCAATAGTATATAGGTAAATACAGAAAATACTGCCCACTCACTGGTAAGTCGAAGGGTCGTAACCCCCGTGACGTCTTTGAATGCGATCGTCCTCGGGATAGGTATCACCTATATGCGAAACAACTATAAAAACGTTATTTAAAGCACATAACCGACAATGCATAATAACTTTTCATACGATGCTCAAATTGGGTATATGAATATACCACAGTGACCTACTCGACGTCACTGACGTTGAGGTAATTTTAAAATAATTTTTGGACTTGCCACACGCCCCCACGCGCCGGGATAGGCACGGGTCCACGCCCCCCATGCGCGTCATCCCCTACCTCCAGTCGCCGGAAAAACTCACCGGCGCCGGAAACTGGGCAAACCTGCAATCGCCATTTTCTCGCTCGATTCTCAACCATTTTTCATGAAATTTTCACCAAAACTTCACAAATTACGAGAGGAAAAAGGCTATACCTTTAAAAACTTCCAAATCCTTCGAAATCACGTCGGGAAATTTCACCCAAAACCGGCCACCTTCGAACCTTGTGATCCCGACGTCCAAAACCTTCAAACGAACGTCCCCGAGCTTCGTGAGAACCTCCTAAAGCTCACTATGAGCTTGGATTGTCCTAAAAACCAACCATTACAAAGTTTGTGAACAGTACTCAAATCGGACCTCGGGTTTTCAACATGAAATCAAAAGGTTTCTTACCTGAAATGGGTATGGGTGAATTCATAGGGTCCTCACGAGTACAATGGTGCCCTTGAAACCCTCGATCCGTGCTCGGATGATCGTGGGTGAGTATGTCCATACAGTTCGAAGGGAGAGAGAGAGAGTGAAACTGAGAGGGAAGAGAGATATACGGGATATGAGAGAGAGGAAAAGTGAGGGGTTTGCTTTGTGTGTGTGTACTTCCCCTAACCATATAAAATACAAACAAATTTTTTTAATCCAACTCAATTTCTTCCAAGAATTTAGGAATGTATGAAATCTTCAAATTAATATGCCATACATACCTTAGCAACAGTTAAGGGCAATTTCATCTTTTCACATCAGCGATAATGAAATTCCGGGACGGGTTGTGACAATCTCCCCTCCTTATAGAATTTCGTCCTCGAAATTCATACAACACTCACTCCATTAATACTCATAAAATAACCTGGGATACATCTCTCTCATTCAATCTTCCGTCTCCCAAGTAGCTTCTTCCACTTAGTGGTTCCTCCACAATACTTTTACCAAGCTCACTGTCTTATTCCTTAGAACCTTGTCTTTCCAATCCAAGATAGTTACTGGTTCCTCATCGTACGTCAAATCTGGATTAATCTTCAAAGGTTGAGGAGGAATCACATGTGAAGGATCTGAAACATAATGTTGAAGCATCGAGACATGAAACACATTGTGTACCTTAGATAACTCCGGAGGCAACTCCAATCTGTAAGCAACTTCACCAATCCTTTCAGTGATCTCATAAGGTCCTATGTACCTAAGACTTAGCTTGCCTTTCTTTCCAAACCTTACTACACCTCTCCAAGGTGACAATTTCAAGAATACCAAATTACCCACATCATATACTCGATCAGTAGCATGTCTATCTACTAAACTCATTTGTCGATCCTAGGCCGCTTTCAGGTTAGACTTAATCACCTAAACATTTTGAGTAGTTTCATTCACAATCTCTGGGCCCTCTAGCACTATTTCACCAACCTCTGACCAACACAATGGCGTACGACAAGCTCTATCATAAAGTGCCTCAAATGGTGACATACCAATGCTCGAATGAAAACTATTATTGTAGGCAAATTCCATCAAGTCTAGGCGATCATGCGAAGAATCACTAAAATGTAACACTGAAGATCTCAACATATCCTCTAACATCTGAATAGTCCTATCTGATTGTCCATCTGTTTGAGGGTCATAAGCAGTGCTGTAAAGCAGTTTCGTACCAAGAGCTTCCTGAAAAGCTATCCAAAACTTAGAAGTAAATATTGGATCTCGATCAGAAATAATATTCACTGGAACTCCATGATACTTCACAATCTTCGTGATGAACAACTTAGCCAATTTATTCAGAGGATACTTTTCCCTCACTGGAATGAAGTGTGCTGACTTAGTAAGCCGATCTACAATCACCCAAATGCCATCAAATCCATTCTGTGTACGTGGAAGCTTATACACAAAATCCATAGTTATATTTTCCCATTTCCACTGAGGAACTGGGAGTGGTTGCATCCGCCCAAAAGGCTTCTTTCTTTCTGCTTTGACTTGCTGACAAACAATACACCTACTTACATATTCTGCAATTTCCCTTTTCATACCCGGCCAATAATAAAATGGTCAAATAGTATGGTACATCTTAGTCCCTCCTGGATGCATTGCATAAGCTGAACAATGTGCTTCATCCAAAATTTCCTTCTTTAATTCCTCATTATTCGGCACATACATTTTGTTCTCCTGCATAAGCATGCCATCTGATTCTCGAATCCTGAGGTCTTTCTTTTTCCCTTCATTTCTCTATTGAATTATTTCTTGAATCTCTTCATCAACCATCTGAGCTTCAAGTACACGATCGACCAAAACTGGCCTGACTTGGAAACTAGCAAGCAAAGCTTCTCTTCGTTCTTCTAACTCCAACTTTACTCCAGTAGCTCTCAAATCTGCAAGAAGAGGAACACGACAAGCATACAAAGCATTGAGTCGACCTTGAGGTTTCCTACTCAGTGCATCAGCTACCACATTTGCACGACCCGGATGATACTCAATAGTGCAGTCATAATCGCTTAGTTACTCCATCCACCTTCTCTGACGAAGATTAAGATCATGCTGAGTAAAAAGATACTGAAAACTCTTATGATCTGTGAAGATCTTACACTTCTCACTATAGAGATAATGCCTCCAAATCTTCAAAGCAAAGACAATGGCTGCCAACTCAAGATCGTGAGTAGGATAATTCCTTTCATGAATTTTCAATTGTCGAGAAGCATAGGAAATCACTCTATTATGCTGCATCAAAACACATCCCAAACCATTTAAGGAAGCATCACTGTAAATCTCAAAGTTACCGCTATCATCAGGAAGTACCAATACTGGAGCATGAGTGAGGCAATATTTC